GCCTGGGAATGTCTGATCATTAACCATACCCCAAAGCAATGCTCAAAGGGTGTCTGATGGGAGCTGCTGTGTGAAAAGCCCAGTGCCATCTGCATTTGGCTGGAATGATTCTGCTTTTGTCTTCCACACCTGTCCCACCCACCCCTTACAGTGAGGGACTGGAATTCCCCACAGTGGTAGCAGGCAGGAGAAGGTATCCTCTATGGGCTGTTTTCCTTTTCCTGTCTCCCCCGCTCACCCCCTACTGGGGTCTCTTCCGTCTCTCAGACCCACTTTGCTCAGGGCCCCTTTCCTATGAGACCACGTTAGGGCAGGTTTCTACCTGAAAATTTCACTGAAATAATACAAACAGAAACCAGGCAGGAAATAAAATTTAACAAAAAGGGGAAGAATCCAATCTCTGGTGGTTTTTTACCACCCTAGTCACTGATAAAAACAAGTGCAAAGCTCAGCAAGATTCTTGACCAGTGCAGATAAACTTACTGATGATGAGCAGACCTAGCAATGGCATTTTTTAAAGTGAACCTAAAAGACAAACAGACTCTTATCAAAAAGGATTCAAACAAAAACCAAATATTCTCCTGGAAAATTTGCACAGGTTGCTGTTAAGTAAAAATGTCTTTTACCTGTAACAATTTTCCATGCATCCCAAGTATGTATTAAAGATTTAGCTCTCGGGGCGCCTGGGTGGCTCAGTGGGTAAAGCCTCTGCCTTCGGCTCAGGTCATGGTCCCAGGGTCCTGGGATCGAGCCCCGCATCGGGCTCTCTGCTACGTGGGGAGCCTGCTTCCTCCTCTCTCTCTGCCTGCCTCTCTGCCTCCTTGTGATCTCTCTCTCTGTCAAGTAAATAAATAAAATCTTTAAAAAAAAAAAAAAAGATTTAGCTCTCTGTGCCGATACTGGTGGTTCCTGGTGGAAGCTCAGATTAGTATGTGGGACCCTAGGAAGTGTTAAAATCAAACACAAACGGAGACCAGCCTTGAGAATTCCCTGAGCAGTCAGAACCAGCAGAGTCATACAAGCAAAGCTGAATTTAGCTTATTTTGCAAGACAAGCGAGGCTCACTTGACCTGGGTCACTTTTTCCTGACACCTCTGAAAATCACAAGCCAAAGTTTTTGTTCCCCCAAAACTGATACAAGGTCACCATTAACCAGTTCCTTTTCATTTAAGAAAATTCTAATATGGCAACCCATCATCTTGAAGAAGCCACAGTCGCTGCCTACGTGCGATCTCAGCTTCTTTACGACGGTGTACCTCTGAGCCTCATTCCACATTTTGGGTTGAGTGCTCCCGGTTTGCAAACTGTCTTTTTGTGTGTGTGCGCAATAAACTGTTCCTAATTATCACCTTGGTGATTCACGGGTTTTACTTCCGTTTTGTTGTTGCTGTGTTTCATTGCCTGAACTTTGGACAAAAGATACATGACAACCCCAGCAGCATCACATATAATCAGTTTTATTGCCAGGTAAGAAATTCATATTAATATAGTGAATACATGTTTACAAATAAACATTTTTAGAAAACAAACAAATGTCTTTTTTTTCTTCATTGTAGGAAGTATTATTTGTATCATAAACTCTGCAGCTGTTGACAAGTATTAACACAGGTTTACTTGCAGAACATACGGTTACTAAAATATTTGCACATAAAATATGCTCCATTTACACGGAAAACTGGGTGGGGGGGAAGTGAGATGGGGGTGCCAGGCAGAGCCCAAGGCGGATGGAGGCTGAGATGCTCTGGGAGGGCGAAGGGAAGTCAGACTCTGGTCCCATTGGGTTGGAAGTCAGGGATAGCTGAAGGCAGGAAGTAGAGGCTAGTATCAGGTTCTGGGAGAGGGAGGGACAGCCTCTTTATTCGGGTTTCTCTCTTCTAAGCTCCCCACTGTAGCCACAGGATTCTTGTCGACACATGGCGGCCACAGATTTGTCAGTACCCTGAGTTCCATCCACCCTCCCTGTCCAACCCCTACTGCCCTGGTCCCAGTTCTCAAAGCCAACTGGAAGGTAGCAAGACAGAGAAGGAACGTTCTTATCCATCATCCTGCCGCATCTTACTGACCGCACTGCGACTGTCCTGCCCAAACCCTGTCAACTAACAAAACTCACCAGATGAAACTGACTCAGAAGAGAAGGATCACGGAGGGGAGAAAAAATTTCGGTAGATTCAGAGACCAAGAAAGGTCCGTCATCAGCACGGGGAGAAAGGTCAGATGAAGTGAGTTGGGGACGAGAGGCAAGATGAGCTAAAAGGGGAATGAGACTCACAGACCTTTGGAGCTGGAGGGAACCTCACAGAGAAGCAGACCCAGTATTTCCTGAAATAGGCGCTGTGCATCACTAGCAAATGCAAAAATGATTTGTAGTAGCACGAGGATATAGCACTGGTTGACACCGAGTCACGGAGGGGAGTGGGTTCCTTCTCGTTTTGTCAGTCCGATGGAGTCCCTTGGAGTGCTAAGTCTCCTCTGGGTGCTGGTATGTCTTTAACAGCTCTTAACATCTGCTAATCATTTTAATAAAGAAAAAGGGAGAGAGAGGAATGATGGAATGGAAGGGGGGGTGAGAGAGAGAGACAGCGAGACCAAGCACGATCCAGCAAACGCCAGGCTCTAAGTTCAGACCCTTCCACAAGCAACAGTAGCTAGCTAGAACTTAACAACTACTGCTTTGTTGCCTTCGCCCTTATCTTTACACTTACTTTCTATTTAGGGTGATTGATACCGCTTTTCTATTTGTAATGGTGAAATCAAGTTTTCCTTTTAAAAGTTCAAAGTATTAGGAGTGAATCAATTTAGCTACAAATGCTTCCATAGTGATCCAGAGAGACGGCCAAAGCAGGTTTCAGTACGGGGGTAACTCATTTCACCGAAACACTGACCAACGGGGCAGTGCTCACCCCACTCGCGGGAGTGCCGGGATCCCAGCAAAGAGGCTGAGAAAGTGGGCACTCTGTCCCCGTCCCCTCTCCCCCCACCAACCCTGCTTTGTCCAGCATAAAACCACTTTATAAATAAGGATCTTCTAGTAGTGGCTTCTGTGCATGGTGGCGTTTTAAGAAATGGGCAGAAGTTTTGCTTGATCTAGCCCCATTTCCATACGTTTCAGACGGGAGACTGAGACCCGGAGAGATAACATGCATTGTCAACGTCCCCAGAGGGGCCGGGAATGAAAAGGAGAATAAGCCCCTGATTTCCTGGCTTCCATAATGTTGGAGGTGAGGCAGGTGAGGCAGAACGCCTCCTTTGGGCATCCCGGGGAACCCTCTGGATCTTCTTGGGCCACCACGTGCAGCTTCCGACACCAGAAGAGGACGATATGAAAACTGGCGAAGGCCATTAGGGACTGGTCGAAAACTTCTTACCTGAAATCAAAATCTCCTCTCTCTCTTACTCTCCTTGTTGGGCTTCCATGGAACAAATAGAAGCGTCAGGGAAAAGGTCTTCGTCGGGATGCCCAAGGGCCATGGGCTGTGAGAACGAATCTGAAAACCGCCTCAGGGAATTCTGGCTGGGAGAGGAATCCGTGGAAATATCTGGGGAGGTGGCTGGCTTGGAGGGCCGTGGGAATGACGAGACCCAGAAATGCTTGAGAGGTTTGGGGCGCCGGATGACAGTAGGACCGGGGGTGACAGGGTGGGAGGCAGGGAGTTCTTCGTCTTTCGGTTCCCCTGACATGGTAGCAGCCCCCTCAGAATGTGTGATGCGCGGGCTCACCAACAAAGGGGTGGGGGGAGGAGACATCTATTACTGCAGGAAACAGGAGGGAGGGGGGCTAAGAACACAGGTCGCACTTGGGAAACAAGACTGTCATCAAACAGTAACACATTGAAGGCACCACCCACGCGTATGACATTTTCAGTCCAAAGCAGTTGAAATTTGGCAGCGGCGGCGGCAACGGGCTGAGGGGGGTTGGGGAGAGACGGGTAAGAGAGGACTGGTTTCAGTGTCTGTTTCTTGTCTCAGAGGCGAGGTGGGAAATGCGGGGTCCCCTTCTCACCTCTTGTTGACTTTCCAACCGTGAATTTGCTGTTGTTGTTCTGATGTCACTGTTCATTTCCTAAGTCTCGAGGATTCTAGACAAAAACTGATTTGCTGTTTTTGTCTGTTTTGTAGTGGGCTTGTGATCATTTATCTTTTTTTTTTTTTTTAAAGGAAAAAAAGAAGTTATTTCACACTCTCTGGACCCTCTCTCCCCGCCCGGAAAAGCTTACTATCCTTCCCATGTCCGTGGTCATGGTCTTTACGGGACTTCTCTAAAATGCTCTTTCTTTCGCATCACTGTCGGTGGGTTCTATTTATTTTTTGTGAGTTTGAGTGTGTGTGTGTCTGTGTGTGTATGTGTGTGTGTTTTTTGCTTCCAACATGGACGATATGAAAAGTACTATAAATAGAACGGTTGGGGTCCAGTTACTGTCTCACGCTTGTCAAAACTGTGTGTCCATGTCACTACTTCTTGGGATTAGAAAACATTTATGATGCACACGGCTTCCTCCCCAGTGAGTCCTCCTCTTAAACACACTCTCCTCTCATGTCCACTCTCGGGCTCCCCCTGCCCCAACCTAGCTCTTTCATCCCGGAACAGACAGCACATGGTAAATGGTGGATGTGCTCAAATGGGCAATTTCTCTAAGTTGTGCTACTTTCAATTTTTTTTGTCATGGATTTCAGTTTTAAGTCAGGAGGAAAAGAAAAAAAATTAGCCCCACAACGTGCGCATGTGAGTTGGCCACCTCGGGCCTGAAGTCGAAAGAGCCATGCCTCAGTTTCCCCTTTGCTGAACACCCCTGCTTCCATCTTGCTCAGCTGCACGCTGACACGTGTTAGGCATGACCCAAGAAAAGCGTGATTTCACGTCACCAGCAGGTTTGTCGTTGGTTGGTGTGGGGAGTCAGGGTGTGGGGGAGCGGGTCGGGGGGGACAGGGAGGGTGTAGGCCGGGGGTATTTTTTGCCTCTCTCAGTTGAGTATGGTCTCCAGGATGCTCCCTGTAGTGAAAGCTCAGACAGTCACTTCTGTTTTGCTGTTGGTGATGAAGTATGGCTGTGGGGGTGGGTAGTGCTGGGTGCGAGTCCCCAAGGGGTCGCTGGAGCCCGAATCGGCGGCGCCAAGCTTGCCCTTGTTACCGTAAGCCTGCCTCCGGAGGGAATGCTCGTTGGGGTCCCAGCCCTTGAAGTTGGTGGTGGAGTTGTAGGCCAGGGGATGTGGGGGCATCTTGTTGGTGCGGGACTTCTGTCCATTCTGCTTGGCAGGGCCGTGCTCAGGGCTGAAGGCCCGTGGCTCATCGTCTACTCTTACAGGGTGCAGAGGGAGGTTCCCCTTGGCGGCCAGCTCGGCCAGGTGCCGTCGCTTGGAGGAGAAGTCATCATTGACCTTGTCGGCTGTCCAAGGTGGACGGAGAAGGGGAGGAGAGAGCAGAGAGAGGGAGAGAGAGAGAGGAGAGAGAGAGACAGTTAGGGATTGGCAAGTCAACCTCGGCACAGCATCCAAGTGAGCCAACAGTCCAAACGAGACACACACTAGAAACTCCATCTGGGACAGAAGGAAGGAAGACAGAAGGAAAGAGGGTCAAGTTCTTTTCACAAGCAAGATCAGGACCGGGGAGGAAAGGGCATCCCCAGCGGAAACTCTAGATCCCCCCCTCCCCCAAATAAACACTTCTCCACCATAAGGCACCTAGCATTGTACATCCCTGGCTTGGCTTTCTTACAAACCCCTGCTGTAGAGTCTTAATTATTAAAATCATGCGCTCGGGGGCGCCTGAGTAGCTCAGCGGGTTAAAGCCTCTGCCTTTGGCTCGGGTCATGATCCCAGGGTCCTGGGATGGAGCCCCGCATTGGGCTTTCTGCTCAGCAGGGAGTCTTCTTCCCTCCCTCTCTCTGCCTGCCTCTCTGCCTACTTATGATCTCTGTCAAATAAATAAATAAAATCTTTAAAAAAAATAAAACCATGCGTTTGTTCTTGTTAGGGGGAAGTACTGAACATCTTGAGAAATATTCGTGTCTGTCACCCACCATTCAAGAATGCCGATACCAATACTTGGCTGTATCCACTTTTGGTTTTCTCAGTTACTGGAGTTCAATATGGGATTTCTATTAATGTGTGTGGTTGCTTTTAGCAGTTAAGCAGACCTGTGTTCAAATCCCAAACCTGCCACCTCCCAGAAGCGTGACTTTAGCTACTTAATAAAAGTTAAGAAACTTTTCAGTTTTTATTACCATTGGTTTCTGCATAAGGAGAGTAGTCATAATAAAAAATATAGAGAGAGGTATTTTCCCAGAGGGTTATTCGAAGGGTTAAACGATATGATGCGTGTAAAGTACTTAGGTATTAGCCCCTATCAATGTCATTATCATTATAAATCACTGTTTAATTTCCATATAACATCCTATCAAGCATTTCTCCATGTTGTTATAAATCACTAACAGAAAACATTTTAATGCCTACATAATATGTCATTGGGTAAAACCATTAAAATTAATCACTCCTCCAATCGACCAACAGGCAAGTTTGCCAATATGCTGTTGGCATAAATAAAGGGGAAATGAGAACCTTCAAGACTAGAGCTCTTTTCTTGTTTAGAATTTTGAATTTAGAGTAATCGCAAGAGTATTTTTCTTCATCTACATCCAGTGATGACGAACTATAGCCCTTGGACCAAATCCGGATGCTGCCTATTTCTGTAAATAAAGATTTGCTAGAACACAGCCCTACCTGCTCGCCCACCTACCGCCTCTGGCTGCTTCTGCTCTGCGGTGGTGGACCTGGGTACACATGCCAGAGACCAAGCAGCCCACAAAGCCTGAACTCTTTACTAGCCAGCCTGGAAATGAATGACCTAAAGTGGAATTACTGGGTCAAAGGGTGTAAACCTTATCAAGGTTTTTGATACATACTGCCAACTCCACCAGAAAAGAGTCACACAGATCTCTGCACCGTTTCACCACATCGTCTCCAGCACTACGATTCCTTCCTTTCTTCCTTCCTTCCCCCCTTCCTACCTCCCTCCCTTTCTCCTCTCTTTTTTTCTTTCTAATCTTGGCCCCCTCATTCTCTTCCTCCTTCCTTCCTTCTTTATCCCTCCCTCCCCTTTCCTTCCCTCCTTCCTTTGTCTTTCTTTCCTCATACATTTATTTGATAATTTTAGGAGATTTTTAAATTTTGTTTTCTTAAAATTCTTTTTATCATAAGCCCCTCTACACTTTTATTTTTTTAAAGACTTTATTTATTTATTTGACAGAGAGATCACAAGTAGGCAGAGAGGCAGGCAGAGAGAGAGGGGGAAGCAGGCTCCCTGCTGAGCAGAGAGCCCGATGCGGGGCTCAATCCCAGGACCCTGAGATCATGACCTGAACTGAAGGCGCAGAGGCTTAACCCACTGAACCACCCAGGTGCCCCTCCTCTACACTTTTAAAAATTTATTTCTTAGTGGGATGACTGGCTGGCTCAGTTGGTACAGCATGCGACTCTTGATCTCGGGGTCCTGAGTTTGAGTTCCACATTGGATGTAGAGATTACTTAGAATAAGTAAGATAGGTAAAATAAAATTACTTTCCTGGCAGTAACCTTTGAACTTACATCCGTTTGGAGAGGAGAATTATTTGCTGCTTTTTCATCCATGCTTCCAACTTCCCACATTGTTACACATGTGAATTTCTCTGTATGTGCATTCACAGAAGTGCCATGTTTCTTTTCCCATTTGATTCTTTCAACAACCACAGGAAGGAGGAAGGATGGGGATCTTAACCCCGGCTTGATAGATTAGGAAATTGTCAAGCTCAGGCATATGAAATGATTAACAAAAGTTACCCACAGCTAGTGACTGAGTCAGGGTGGACCTAAGTCCAATAGACATTATGTGATGCTTTTCAAAGGCCATAGAGGAAAAGCTTCAGTTTCGGGACCAAGGGCACTTGCCCCCTCTGTGTCCGTGGCAGACATTACTCATTGGTCACAGCGTTCTGTCTTGGCAGGTGTGGCCTAGGCTCAGACTCCTCAACATAACACCCCAGGAAGCCACACATTAACCTTCCAGGCTTAATACTGGTTAAGTTGGGTTTCTGCCCGTATTAATGTAAATAGCCCTGGTTCATGTGATCTTTAAAGAGAAAGTCCCCTTCTCCCTAAATTCTAAAGCTGTCTGAAAATACAGAGTGTCAAAAGGAATCCGCTACTAAAGATATGAAGAGCACACGTTCCCAATAATACTGTGATTGCTTAAAGTGGCATGAGTTAAATTCAAGTCAATGTTAGATGCCCATCCTCTTGCACTCCAGAAGAAAGTTCTAGGTTTCTAATGCCATGAAGTTTCAACAGAAGCATACCCTGATATTCCCCCTTGGACTCGGGGCGGGGGGGGGGACACGAATCCAGTTACCTCCAGGACAGATTCACTGGCATTTCCCAGGTGGCCAAGACTGAACCCATCATCATCATTACAAAGATCTGTTCTTCAGGTCCTTCCTTATCCCTCAAATGTAAACACCAACTTTCTAGTTACTGAAGCCAGAAATATGGTGGCATCCACTGACTCATCTCTCTCTTCTCCCCTCCAGCACAAGTGCTAAATCGCCCAGTCCTTCCAGCTATGCTTACAAAGGCTTCTTTAGCCTATTCCACGTCACCCCCAATTTTGAACATTGGTCCACTTCAGCCTCCAAACAGGCCTCCCTGCCTTGAGTCTCACTCCTCCACCCACTCCATTCTCCACACTGCAGCCAAAGGCATATTTCTAAAATGCAAAACTGACCATGTCCCTCATCTACCAAAATCTCCTCAAGCAATTTGCTCATTCGGTCATTCATCACAGAGGCACGGGCCATGGGTCAGGCAGTGGAAATATAAGGAAGAATCAGAAACAGACATGGCCCTTGCCCTCATGGGGTGGACATCTATTAGGCGGGGACAGGTAGGGACCAAATAAGCCCACGGATTACCTAACAGTATAACTACGGTAAGTGCTATAAAGAACTATCCAGTCTTGTGAATATTTATATTAGGATCTCTGAGATGGTCTGAGAACCAGATGTTGGAAGCCTTGAAGGCATGAACCTTATCTTTCCATCTGTAGGGCTCTCAATCCTGGCAGGACTTGGGAATCACATGGTGGAGTTTTGAAAGCATTCAGATTCCTAGATTCCTCCCCCAAACAATTCAATTAGAATCTCTGCAGCTCTGGCCCAAACATAGATTCTTTTTTTTTTTTTTTTTTTTTTTTTTTAAAGCACTCCTCCACCCAAGGGATTCTAATGTGCAGCCAGAGCGGAGACCACAGGCACAGCCCTGGCAGGTAGCACAATGCCAGCACATAGCTCTTCCAAGAGAACTAAAGGTAAGTGACCTCCGATCTCAGTCCTATTCTCTCCTGCCACCTCATGCCACCTTTGAGGACCTCAAACAAGGTCACATCCCACCAGATAGACTTTTCTCCATGGCATCCATTGTCGATGCCATTTTATACTTGGTAATGCATTCATTCATTCATTACTCTCTATCTCTCTCACTGCTGTCCCAACAGGGCAAGGCCAGGTCAGATTCCTGCCCATCACCACATACACAATGTCCAGCATACTTCCTGGCAGATATTAGATAATAAATATTCAGTGAGTGGATGTAAGAGCAAAATATCGTGAATACACATAGACTATCAGAGCAATCATAAGAGTGGAAGCTCCCTTCCCCTGTTTTTCCCATGAGTCTGTTATAAAAGTCTCACTCATCCTTATTACGGCCCCAGTCATGATCTAGAATCATTCATTCTCATGTTCCACTTTCCAGACAATGGACTAGCCTAAGGTCTGGTCAGCGAAAAGGATGTACTCCAGATTTCCTCTGTCTGACAGACTGAGAACATTGATGACGAAGTAGATGTTCCAACAGCGGGGATAGGTGGCATTTTCTCAAAAAGTTCTAAAGAAAAGAAGTCACAGAGGCATTCAACTCTTGCTAAATCAGTGCAGGGAGAAGGAGAAACCTTCACGAAGAGGAGTCATGAAGGCCCAAACAGCGAATCTACAACCTTCTAAGAACCGCCCTAACTTGGTCTCTTAGTGAGCTTGGCATTGGGGACACCCTGATCATACAAAGTGTTTGGTACTTGGGGCAAGAGTAGGGTGAACAGAAAACTCTGGGGGTCCTGGAATCAGCCAGACTTGAGCTTCTGAGATCTCAGAAATATCACTTAACCTCTTACAGCTTTATTTCCTTTGATGTGAAATGGGGATAACACAAGCTACTTCAGATTTGTTGTGAGGAATAAATTGTACGAGATATATAAGCTACAAAGCACAATTCTGGAATGCACTAACTATTCAATACATATTTTGTCTGTCTCCTGGCTTATGAAAGAATTGGATTGAATCCAATGACATTTATTGAGCAC